CTTTACATATACTATGGTAGAAGGAGCTCTGATGGTTGAAAGACCATCACGGAGAAAATGTATCAGAATGGTTTTGCTTGGCCCTCTAGAAGCAATAGGAAAGCCACAAAGAGGCATATTTCTGCTACGCCTCTATAAGGGGAAGACTTCCTATTAGAGCTATGCCGAAGTGGATGGTATATATCAGAGATATCCAGGTCATGGGATCCCTGTCTCTAAGGGTCTCCACAGGAAGGATGGGTGACCATTTCTTGGGCTTGGCATGGTAGAGCACATCAGCCGTGAGGTCAGGGAGGCTGCATCCAAATCTTGTTGCCTACACTTACGAGTGATGTGACCCTGGACAAGTCACTTGACCTCTCAGTTTCCTCATCTGTAAAATGGGAATAATAATAACAGCACCTTCCTCCCAAGGTTGTCGTGAGGTGCAAATCAGGTAACATATGTAAAGTGATTTACAAATTTTAAGGGACTGTAAAAATATGAGTTATTATTTTGGGGGGGTTGGGGGTCCTGCTCACGTATGGATCAGACTAGATGTTATCTAAGGTCCCTTCCAGCTCTGATGGCCTACGATTCCTCATCTTAGAAACAGAAAACCTGAATTCTAGCTATAGCTCTTGCATTTACCAGCTTTGTTACCCTGGGCAAGTCACATGTGTAAAAAGGGCCCACAGTACTTATAATACCTGCCTCACTAGTAACTGTATTAATGGCTCAAATGTAACAAAGGGAGATGTTTTTGGGGAGGTACATACATGCATGTGTGTGTGTGTGTGTGTGTGTGTGTGTGTGTATGAACGTAGTGGGCTCCTTAAAAACCTTGGACACCATTATATTTATCCTGTATCTCCCCCAGCACCAGACATAGCATGTCACATACAGGAGGTGATTAATAAATGTTGAATGTTTGTTAAATGGATATGAGAGACAGGGGGTTTCTTCATTACCAGCTGACAGAGTCCTCTTTGTTTCCCCATTACCCTCTTCCCTGAGTCACTGCCCATCCTAGCTGCTAATCATGGCAGCTGAGCCAGACCTCAGAAGGAGACAGAGGTAAGATGCATTGCGCCCCACCCCCCACTCCCAAGAAATGCCCTCGTGTGGGCCCGTTACACAGGGCAAGACAATGGAAAGCCCACTGCATGTGAAGTTAGAAGACCAGGTTTGTAGTTTCTAGTTCTGCAGCCTTAGGCTAGCATGGTGACCTCAATTTCCTTCTCTATGTTGTTGTCTAGTCCTGTCTAACCGTGCATGATTCCATTTGGAATTTTCTTGGCAAAGATACTAGAGTGGTTTGCCATTTTCTTCTCCAGTGGATCCAGTAGATCCATTCTGTCAGGCAATCAGAGGTTAAGTGACTTGCCCAAGGTCGCACAGCTAGAAAGTGTCTGAGGCTGAATTTGTACTCAGATCTTCTTGACTCCAGGCCCAGTGAGCCACCAGCTGTCTCCTTCTCTATTAAACAGAGGTAACCATGCTGACACTACTGACCTCTCAGAGTCATGAGGAATACATCTGGTTGGGAAGTAATTCAACATAGTGTCAAGAATGCAGGCACTTCCTTTCTGCTGAGAGGTGGGGGACTACTCATACGGAAGGTTGCATACTTTATCAGACAAAATCAGTGTGTCAATATCAATTGATATTACTTACCTGATTTTCTCTTCATTACAAAGAGGAGGTCAATAAAGGAATATAGTAACAAAAGGAACAAAAAAACTTAAAATTATATATCATATATATAGTATGATATGTGTATATATAATGTTTGTGTATATAATGTATAATAAATGTGTATATTATGTGTTTATAAGATGCCCCAAAAGTCTTAGTAAAGTTTTAAGATATTTTAATAGAGATATTAAAGATAATTTAATAAATATTTTGATATCTTAAAACTTCACTAAGATTTTAGAGACATGCTGCATATTTGTGAGAAAGAGGGCAGGACTTTAAGTTAAGAGAACGGCATTCAGATCTCAAGTCCAATCCAAAATAATCCAACAAGCATTTATTAAGCACCTACTACGTGCCTGTCATGTGCTAGGTGCTGGAGGTTCAAAGGTAAAAATGAAAAGTTCCTTGCCTTCAAAGAATTCGCATTCTACGGAGTTTATGCAACCTGTAAACACATACTTGACCCTCTGCAAGCTTTGTGACCGTAGGAAATGGCTCTTCCGGTCTTTGGACCTCAGTCCCCTTATCCATCAAACAAGGAAGAGAACACTTCTTTCCAGGGGTATGGTGAGAAACACTTGTTGAATCTTTTGAAGGCAGCTTGTTGTGGAGTGAGGCTCTCCTGCCCCCATGTGGTTGAACTAGGCATTGCATCTTCTCTCTTTGCTGGGAAAGATGAAGGAGGGAGGCTGGTTCTGGCTGAGTAGCCGTAGGCAGAGGGGCCCGATAGCTGAGCCAGAGAGACCTAGGAGGGGGGAAAATCAACTTTCTCATGGCTAGGACAGCTGGATGTCCAAGGCTTGGGCCTAGAAGTAGATCCCTGGCTACCTGCTACTACCTACTGGCTTGGAAGAGAAGTCCCTAGCCTTCCCATCCACCTGAGCTAAAGTAGCCTCTACTCCCTCTGGCTGGACCCAGCCCTCAAGAATGTTTGATCAATGGTCAGTGACAGACAAGAGACTCAAGAGGTCCATCTATACCTGGAATCTTGTGGTTCCAAATTTAACTATAAATTACACTGAATGCTAGAAGAGAATTGAATTAAGCCAAGTTGAATCAACTGGCATTTATTACGTATTTACTGGGGCAGCTAAGTGGCCCCAGAGTGCATAGAGTGCTGGACCTGGAGTCAGGAAGATTCATCTCCATGAGTTCAAATCCAACCTCAGACACTAACTAGCTGTGTGAACCTGGGTAAGTCACTTAACCCTACTGCCTTGGTTCCTTACCTGAAACAATGAGCTGGAGAAGGAAATGGCAAACCACTTTAGTATCTTTGCCAAGAAACCTCCAAAATGAGGTCATGGAGAGGCAGACATGACTGAAAAACTACCACCACAATATTCAGACTTCATGCTTAGCACTAGGGATCATGGCTCCCGCCCTCAAGGAGTTCACAGTCTAATGGGGGAGAGAACATGCAAGCAACTATGCAAATAAAACAGACAGGATGAATTAGGAGTAATCAGCAAAGTGAAGGCACGGAGATTGATCATGGAGGACTGGGAAAGGCTTCGTACAGAAGGTAAGGCATTACCCAGGAAAGCCAGGAGGTAGAGATGAGGAGGGAGAGCACTCCAGGCATGGGGGACAGCCCCAGAAAATGCCCAGGGTCAGGAGAACAGCAAGGAGTCCAATGCCACGGGATTGTTGAGTAGGTGGAGGGGAGGGACATGTAAGAAGCCTGGAAAGAGAGGAAGTGGCCAGATTACAAAAGGCTTTACAAGCCAGACAGAGGATTTTATACAGGACATAGAAATCAGAGACTTAGAAACAGAGGTGATCATAGGACTAGAAGGAACCTGAGAGGCCATCCCGGCTAAAGCCCCCATTTTACAGGGTAGGAAACTGGAGCTCAGTGAGGTAATGACTTGTCCAAGGTCTCACAGTAAGTGGTAAAGTAAGGATTTGAACTCAGGCCTTCTGATTCCATAGCCTTTGCTCTTTCTACTATGCCATACTGTCTCTGTACCATGCTGTCTTAGAATGTGGAATGTCAGAGCTGCACCCTTAGAATATAGCACGTCAGAACTGGGAGGGCCCTTGAAACAAGAATGTCAGAGCTAAAAGAGCCTGTACAACAGAGAATGTTTGAGCTGGGGAGGGCCCTTAGGATACAGGATATTAGAACTGAAAGGACCTTTAGAAGACAGGATGTCAGAACTGGGGCCCTTGGGACAAAAATGTCAGAGCTGGGAAGACCCTTAGAACAGAGAACGTCATAGCTTGGAAGGCCCTTAAAACACAGGATGTCAGACCTAGGAGGGCCCTTACAAAAATGTCAGAACTGGAGGGCCCTTAGAACCCAGAATGTCAGAGCTGGGAGGGCCCTTAGAACACAGAATGTCAGAGCTGGGAGGGCCCTTAGAACACAGAATGTCAGAGCTGGGAGGGCCCTTAGAACCCAGAATGTCAGAGCTGGGAGGGTCCTTAGAACCCAGAATGTCAGAACTGGGAGGGTCCTTAGAACCCAGAATGTCAGAGCTGGGAGGGTCCTTAGAACCCAGAATGTCAGAGCTGGGAGGGCCCTTAGAACACAGGATGTCAGAGCTGGGAGGGCCCTTAGAACACAGGATGTCAGAGGTAGGAGTACCCTTAGAACACAGGATGTCAGAACTGGGAGGGCCCTTAGAACCCAGGATGTCAGAACTGGGAGGGCCCTTAGAACCCGGAATGTCAGAGCCGGGAGGGCCCTTAGAACACAGGATGTCAGAGCTGGGAGGGCCCTTAGAACCCAGAATGTCAGAGCTGGGAGGGCCCTTAGAACACAGGATGTCAGAGCTGGGAGGGCCCTTAGAACCCAGGATGTCAGAGCTGGGAGGGCCCTTAGAACCCAGATGTCAGAACTGGGAGGGCCCTTAGAACACAGGATGTCAGAGCTGGGAGGGCCCTTAGAACACAGGATGTCAGAGGTAGGAGTACCCTTAGAACACAGGATGTCAGAGGTAGGAGTACCCTTAGAACATAGACCATTAGCATTGGAAGGAACTTCAGGACAGACTTTCCTGGGAAGGCTCATAGATGTCAAGCCAACAAGCATTTGCTAAACGCCTACTCTGTGGTGGGCACGGTGCTACAAAGAAAGGCAATAGACAGTGGCTGCCCTCATGGAGCTCACAGTCTAACGGGGCAGACAACAGGCCAACAACCACGTATAAACAAAATAAAGACATGGTAAGTGAGAGCTAGAATGTCAGAGCCTAGAGAGCCATTCTAAAGTCCTTACTACTTGGACATTCTGCGCTCTAAGAGCCCTCCAAGCTGCCTGTCTGACCTTGGGCACACACAGCCTCATCTCTCCTCAGCCTTGGTTTCCCCACCTGTAAAGCGAGGGGGTCACACTCAGTGGTCTCTGAGGCCCCTTCCGACTCCGGATCTGCTGTTGGTTTTCAGTGATTCTGGACACGTCCTCCTGAAATCCTCCACAGAGAATCTATCTGCCCAGCGTGCAGGCCTTCCTCCCAGTTTCTCACCATTTCCTGGGTACGAGATGATCCCCTGAACTGTCTATCCCTTCTTCTTTACCCCGCCCCCCACATGCCAGGCCCACCCTCTTCTCCAAACCTACCTTTGTTTGATGCTTCGGATGCTACTTCCTTTCCTTGCATCAGTCATGGGCTACAGCCTGCTCACACCCACCATTACTGTCTCCATTACTCCTTGGGTTGCCTGAAAGACTGATTCATTGAGCTTGGAAGTGTTTCCTGATGATTCATAGCCATGGGGAATCACCAGAATATTGGTGTTAGAATCTTCAGGTTTCTGGTCAGGGAGTAACTTTGGGTCATTGAAAGTGCTACAAAAAAAATTTCCCCCCAAAAAAAAGGGGGGGCAGCTAGGTGGCACAGTGGATAGAGCACCGGCCCTAAAGTCAGGAGGACCTGAGTTCAAATCTGGCCTCAGACCAAACACTTGACAGTTACTAGCTGTGTGACCCTGGGTAAGTCACTTGATCTTCATTGCCAAAAAAAAAAAAGTCAGAACTGAGAGGGCCCTTAGAACAGACTGTCAGAGATGAGAGGCCTCTTAGAACACAGAATGTCATTCTTCTTTCACAACATGATTAATGTGGAAATATATTTAATATGATTATACATGTATAACCTTTATCAGATTGCATGCTCTTTTGGGAAGGGGAGAAGGGAAAATTTTAGAACTCAAAATCTTATAAAAGTGAATGTTGAAAACTAATAATTAAAAAAACCCAGAATGTTAGAGCTGGTCATAGTTAGGAGGGCCCTTAGAAATAAAGAACGTCGGGCAGCTAGGTGGCTCAGTGAATAGAGCTCTGGCCTTGGAGTCAGGAGGACCTGAGTTCAGATCCAGCCTCAGACCAGCTGTGTGACCCTGGGCAAGTCACTTAACCTCAATTGCCTCACCAAAAAGCAAAAAAAAAGAAAGAAAGAATGTCAGAGAACATAGAATATCCAAGCTGGGAGGGACTTTAGAATGGTGAATGTTAAAGGTAGGAGGTTCCTTAGGACATAGAAAGTTAGAGCAGGGAGGGAATTCAGCACATAGAGATTCAGAGCCAAGAGGGACTTCAGAGATCACCACCCCCAACCAGTTCTTCGGATTAGATTAGAGAACTGAGTCCTAGAAAGGCAAGGAGATTTGTCTAAGGTCCCACAGGACATTAGTTAAGGAACAGCTTAAATCCTGTTCTTCCATACCCACTTTCTACTATTAACCAATCAATAAGCAAACATTTATTAAGTGCCCACTATGTGCCAGGCACAATGCTAAGTGGTGGGGATACAAAAAGAGGCAAAAGACAGCCCCTGCCCTCAAGGAACTTACAATCTAATGGGGGAAGACAACACACAAACCAATATATACAAAGCAAGTTATAGACAAAATGGATAGGAGATAATTAACAGAGGGAAGGCACTAGAATTAAGAGGAGTTGGGGAAGGCTTCCTGTAGGAGGTGGGATTTTAGTTGGGACTTAAGGAAGCCAGGGAGGTTAGTAGCCAAAGCAGAGGGAGAGCATTCCAGGCATGAGGGACAGGCAGAAAAAAATGCCCAGAGCTGAGAGATGGAGGGTCTTGTTAGCTGAATAGCCAGGAGGCCAGCGTCACTGAATCACAAGTACATGGTGGAAAGTAAGGTGCAAGAAGATTGGAAAGGTAGGAGGGAACTAGGTCATGAAGGGCTTTGATGCGAAACCCAGCTTTTTGTATTTGCTCCTGGAGGCAATAGCAAGCCACTGCAGTTTATTGAGTTGCCAGTGCGGGGCAGGGGGTAGGGATAGGGTTAGACCTGGGCTTTAGGAAACTCACTTCAGTGGCTGAATGAAGGATGGATTGGAGTAGAGAAAGATCTGAGGCAGGGAGACCACCATATGAGAGGTGATGAGGGTCTGGACCAGGGTGCTGGTAGAGTCAGAGGAGGGAAGGGGACATAATTGAGAGATGTTGCAAAGGTGAAACCATGAAATCAACAGGGCTTTGCAACAGTTTGGATATAGGAGATGCAAGACAGTGAAGGATCCAGGGTGACTCCTAGATTCTCCTGAGGATCTGGGAAGACGGTATTGCCCACTATAGTAGTGGTAGAAGGTAGAAAAGAAGGAAGAAAGATTCAGGGGGCAAGATAGTAAGTTCTGTTTTGGACATTTTGAGTTAAAAATGTCTGCTGGATATCCAGTTCAACATGTATGAAAGGGAGTTGGAGATGTGAGACTGGAGGCCAGCAGAGTTTGGGACAGGATAGGTAGATTTGAGAATCATCATGGGAGCTGATGAGATCACCAGATGAGGTGGTGTAGAGGGAGAAGAAAAGAGGGTCCTGGACAGAACCTGTGGGACACCTCCAGTTAAAGGGTGTGATCTGGAGGAGGAGCCAGCAAAGGAAACTGATGAGTGGTCAGAGAGGTAGGAGGAGAACTAGGAGAATGTGGGGGTGGGGGATGTCCCAAAAACCTAAAGCAGCAAGGCCAAGGAGGAGAGAGTGATCCACAGATTCAGAAAGGTGAAGAAGAATGAGGATTGAGAAAAGGCCATTGGATTTGGTAATTTAGGAGATTGTTAGCCACTTTGGAGAGAGCAGCCTCACTGCAGGAGGGGGCAGTGGCTAGGTGGCCATGGAGAAGGCATTGCCCTCAGGAGCACCAGGTGGCACAGCTGCCCACTGCTCAGCCCCTTGGATCCAGCTGGGCCTGCCAACAGGCTCCCCTTCCTGGGCCTGAGAGGAATTACCAATGAAGTAGCAATCAATGAGTAATTAATGAGCAATTAACTATAAACAATTAACCTGAACTGAGCTGCCTGAAGTCCAAGGGTAGGCAGCAGACACTGTCATTTAATGCTCGAAGCTCTAGCTGTTGGGGTCGGGGGTTGGGAAAGGGACACCACTCCTCCTGCCCCCCCTCCCCCAGGGAGGCAGTTAGCAGGTGGAGGCACTAGCTGGGCACTAGGCCCAGCTCAGAGCTAAATAAGGCTCAGAGTGTTGACTTGAGGGCTCAGGGCCATGTAGGCTCTAGACATGGCTGGGCTGATTGGGTAAGCTGGGTCCCCAGGGGCCCGATTTTCTGGGGCCTCAGTTTTCTCACTTGAAAAAACAGAAATGCTATCATAATCTGAGGGCACTTGAGGGGCCCTGGCAGGAGACAACCTTCGTAGGAGGGTATGGGGGGCAACTTTAGGAGATAATAGGACCCCCTCTTCACTAGGGGTCTTTAAGCAAAGGCTGGGGAACCTATCAAGCATTTATTAAAGCACCTACTATCTGTTAACCTCAGTACTGTTAAACTCAGTACTCGGTACTAAACTCAGTACAGTTTCATCGGTGGAGTCCTTTCTCCCCATTAATTATCTATTTATCCTGTACATAGCTTGTCTGTATAGATTTGCTGGGGAGCTCCTGGAAGGCAAAGGCCTCTTTTTTATGTTCCCAGCAATTAATACACAGTGCCTGACACTCCTATAAATGCTTATTTCCTTTCCCCTGACCCCTTCGACCATCCAGTGACCATCAGAGGGCGCCACGGCTCTGAATTGGAGGCCAGCCTGGGAAGAAGGGGACAGGGGGAAGGACCTGGGCAGCAGCCCCTTCATTCTTGGAGGTAGTTCCGGCTGCCCCAAGAGGGCTGTGAGTTGGAAGGGGTAGGGAGGGGGTCAGCTTGCCTCAGGGATGAGAAAGCTCGGTATCCTCTCCTCTCTTGCAGGATCTCAGGGGCCTCTGGGGAGCCCACTTTGAAAAATGAGGGGATTAGACTGAGGCCTCTTCCAGCTCTCAATTCCTACAGTCAGAGGAAGGAATTCTGGGCCTGGCTGGATGTGGGAGTTGGGAGAGGGATCCCCGGGCAACGGTCAGCCCCGGAGGCCCAGAAAGCACTGCACTGCAGGGGCCCTGAGCGGGGTGAGGGTGCAGGAACCTGCAATCCCGCACTGCCCTAACCAGTCTCATTCGGATAGGACGAGCTCTGGCCCTCCTTCAGTTACCTGGGGCGGGGCCTTAGAATGGGGTGGGGTTTAGGGTCTGGGGGCGTGGCTCTGGGGCAGGGAGGAGCTTCATTGATGAGGCTAGACTGAGGGGGGAGGGGTTGAAGGGGGCTCCTGTTGCCAGGGAAACCATTTCCTCCGTCTGGGCGCGAGGGGAGCAGCTGCAGACAGAACTCGGTGGGGGGCGGCCAGGGGAGGGGGTGAAGGGTGGTAGGGACACCTTCCGGAGGCCCCAGCCAGGACCTCCACCGCTGCCGCGGCTAAGCCGCTCCTCGCCTCGGTTTGCATCGAGCCCAGAGTCTTTTGGGGATGGGGGAGCGGATGAAATTAATTGGGTGGAAAAACGAGGGGAGGGGGTGGTCCAGTCCGTCCTGGGTCTCCGACCCCGAAAGCTAGAGGGATGAGACGGAGAGGAGATCCCAGAGGAGGCCAGGTCGCTAGGGAGGAAGAGGAGAGAGCAGGGGAGCTGAAGTGCGGGCCTGCTGGTGGCCCTGGGGAATAAGGTGGGGGTGGTACAGGACGGGGCGAAGGGGGGTAAGGGGGATTGGAGGCCAGAGAATAAGCCATGGTTGGGGGAAAGGAAGAGGGGAGAGAATCTGAGCTTGCTGGTGCCCCTCGGGTGGGAGACAGGGATGATGAGTAGGAGTTTTAGACTGGGGGGGGAGGAGGGGTTGAGAGGGGCTGCAGGCAGAGAGCCCGGGAAGACTGGGCACGTCTAGGGGGCAAGGGAGGGGGACACGAGGGTAGGGGTGAGTTTCTGACTTGCGCCCTGAGGGAGATAAGGCTAGGGATGGGCAGAGAGTCAGGGGAGACCAGGCACTGCTGGAGGGATGCTATGGGAGGTGGAGAGGAGTGGGTTCTGGGGGAGGAGATAACAGGGTGAAGGGAAGTTCAGAGCCTAAGGTCCTGGAGAGAAAGCCCGGGGGGACAAGACAGGTGGGGAAGAGAGGGAGGATCCTAGGGTGAAAGTCTCGGTGGGAAAGGGGGGGGAAAACATGGCAGAAGGGGAGGAGAAAGGAGCTAAGATTCTGGGGGGAGAAGGAGTGGGGTAGAGATAGCTTGCTGAAGAGGACTGATATGAGGCTGGGAACTTGGGCGGGGAGGCACTGGTCCTGGGAGGCAGAGGCAAGGACTCGTTTTTTTCCATCTCCCTAAACAAAGGCCCAATCTCAGAGACCTCAGGATTGGACGTCGAGTCTCGGTTGGGGAGGAGGTGAAGACGCAGAGGGACAACCATATCCCCTCCCCTGCTACCCCAGCTAGGGGCTTCTGGGGAACCCGGGAACCTGGTATCGAAGGGGTAGGGAGGGAGAGAGAAGCCAGGTGGGCCCAGGCTCCCAGGCTAAATTAGTCTCTGGGCCTTCCTAATGGGGGGGGGGACATAAACGCGGTGTGTGTAGTCCTCTTCTTCCTTTCGCCCTATGTCGCTAATATTTTACATCATATTGTCAATGATTCGATTAACGTGAACAGAAATATTGTGACTGAGGCTTCCAGGCTGCGGAGTCCCCTGGGAGAGCGCGGCGCAGGCGTGCTGAGTCCCTTCCCCGCCCCCCAAAAACCGAGTCCAGCCTTCCTATAGTGGGGGAAGGGACTAGGCCAGAGTGTCCGAAGGCCAAGGGACTAGGGGCGGCTCTTCCCCTGCACAGGCTGAGGGGTGGGGGTGGGGAAGAGGAGGAAGCGGCAGCTGCGCCTGCGCAACTCTGGAATTGGCGAGGGGCCCTGACCCTCTTCTACCGGGGGCTGCATTTCCCCTCGCACCCCAATCACTCCGTCATTCTTGGCTCTCTCCGGGTCCCCTCCCCCAGGCCTCCCCGTCACCTGGGAAGCGGCAAATCCCCCAGCCCCCAACACCAGGCACAGCCACCACTGGGGCTGGGGAGTGTCCGGCTCCAAGCCAGGGGTCCCTCAGTCTCAGAACACTTAGAAGGAGCCCTGTCCTGTTCCCCCAGAGGCGGGCTGTCTAGAGTCTCCGAGACGCTGGAGGATGGTGGCGAGGAGGCGCGCACAGCTCCGGCAGCCAAAGTTTGAGGAAGGGAACGTTACTTGAGGAAACAGAAAGATGGGGCGGAGGTGGGGGGGGGAGGTTGCACAGGGAGGAACCAGGAGGAAGGAGCGAGAAACAAGGGAGGAATGGGGAGTAAGAAGATTCAGGAGAGAGGACTTCGATGGAGGGAGAGAAGAAAAACTGATTTTCTGCCCAGGTTCCTCGGTGCTTACCTTCCATCCATCCCACCCCCATCCCCAAAGAGACACACCCCCAGGGGTGGAGGTAGGACTAGACAATCCCCTACATCCCCAGGAGCCGCCGCACGCTCAGAGGTATCCACTGGCCCATTCCCGCCCATTGGCATAACCGCACCCACCAGTACACTTCTACCTCCACTCACGCACACACTTGCATTCATACATCCACGCGCCCACACCAGCTCAAACGCAGACACGCAGAACCCCGTTGGCCTACGCGCACAGTGACCCACTCACATTTGCCCTGGCATTGCACGCAAGCACTCGCACCCTGACACACGGGGACAGTGGGCCCCCCAGGCACCCCTGGGCTGCTGGATCCCGCACTTGAGAACTGTAGGAACTCGGCGCCGCTGCCGTTTCAAGCTCCCCTCAGAGCCAATTGATTCTGCAGAAGGAGCGGGCAGGCTGCGGGATCTGGGGCTAGGGCGGGCCGGTAGGAAGGGGGCCACTCCTCCCCTGCAGCCCGTTGGGTCCCGGGCCGGGTGAAAGGGGGCTGGAGCGGCGGCCTCAGTTCCGGGCCGGGCCGGGCTAGGCCCCTGAACCCCCTCCCCTCCCCTTGCCGCGCCAAGCTGCACTGCCCCGGTCCGCAATTTATTCCCGGGCAGAGTGACAGTTTTTGGGTCAGGAAGCAGCTGTTGGAGTCAGCCGGCTGCCCTCCCTCCGCTCGAATACCAAATCAGGCCTCGGGGAGGTAAATAGGGGGAGCTCGTGAACCGCCGGCGGGCAGGCGGGGACGCGAGGGGGCTGCCAGAGCCCCTGGCCCAACCCTGGCCCCCTTCTCCCTTCGTTGGCCAGGGCGCCCTCCTGCGGGGCCCTGGCTTCGGCCCCAAGCACAGTTGGCTCACACCCACTCCCCACCCCACAGCCTTCCAGATCCCACCTCCAGAGGAAGGGGGCCAGATTGAAGGGAGGAGGTTGGGACCTGACCTTTAAAGGGAGGGGCTGGGGGAAGAAAACTTGGGTGGAGGGAGGAGCTTGGCCAATGGGGAGGGGGCCTGACCTGTGCGGGGTGGGATCCTGAAAGCCGAAGCGGGTGGAGGGACCAGGAGAGTCAAAGGAGGAGGAAGGGCTGCGATGACCTCTTAGCTTGGTGCCTAATTTTCTCCACACACCCCTTTCTTCCTCCCATCTCTCTGTCTCTGTTTCTGTCTCTGTCTCTCTCTAGTAGGCCAGGAGTGGGGTACGCAGTAATTCTACCCCAGTTTGTCTTGGCGGGGGCCCTCAGGGACTGGAATTAAGGAGTAAGGATTCCCTTTTGGGAAGACCTGGAGGAGGTCATCTGAGCAGCTTGGCACCTCTCTGAAAGCCCTTACTACTCTCCAGGACCTGTTTCCTCATCTTTACAATGAGAGGATTGGACTAGATGACTCTATAGGTCACTTCCAACTCTTAATCCTGTGATCCCATTACACAGATTGGGAAACTGAGGGCTGAGCTTGACTAGGAAAACAAATGGAAAAAGGTGTTCCAGTCTTCTAGTGGCGCTGCTCTTTCCCCTATGGGCTCTGTGAATGAAGCTTGTGCTCTAGGTTAGGAGCTAAGCCCAGGAGAGAATGTACATGGGCACTGGGGGGGAGGTAGAAAGTCTGGGCTGGAAGGAGGAAGGAGCAGCAGATGGGTGATTAGAGGAACAGGGTTTCCTGTGTGGAACAACCAAGCTGCTGCTACTGGTGGATGTAATAGACGTCCTGAATTCACTGAGGCTTCCCTCAACCCTCAACTTGGAGACCTCTCTCCTTGAGCTACCCGTCTCCTCCTCTGCTACCTCTACCTCCATCTAGGAACTTGGAGCCTGCTCCCTGGGAGGGACTGCTCAATAAATATTTGTTGAGTTTAGTTGAATTCTCCCCCTGGATCCAGTGAGCAGAAAAGAGCCCTGGGCTGGGAATCAGGAGACCTGGTTTCATCTGGCTTCAGCCACCAGCTAACCTGCCCTATGTGGCCTTGGTTGGGCAAGACCCTACTCTAGTTTGTAAATGGACTGGGCTGAAGAGGCTGATATTCAGGGTCCCTCCCAGCTCAGAAATTCTACATTGACAGGCTCCAGGCTGGAAGGGACCTTCCTGATCTTCCCATCCAACCCACTTCATTCATCCCAAAGAGATTAGATTTCCCGTGATTCCTTAGGTCTCTGCTAGCCATGACCATCTAAGTTTGAAGTGCCTTTCAGGACCTCACAGCCAATTCAGTTCAGCAAACGCCTTCAGCACAGTTCTGCCAGGGAACCCCAGCAAACTGGGTTGGGTCCTGCAGATGCGATGTTTCAGAGACTGAGTCACAGATAAGCCAGGGGAAATGAAAGGTTAGTGACTTCCCCAAAGTCATACTGCTAGGATGTGTCATTCCCAGACTTCCTGCTTCCAAGACTAGCCCTCTAGCTAATACTTCAAGCATCCTTGCACAATTTTTACAAACAGATCTGGGATTTCATTGGCGGGAGGAACTCCTGGTAAGGAAACATCCCTCTCTCAATGCAGATAACCCAAGTTATCAAGCACTCAGGGCTTACAATGCGCCAGGCACTGTGCACTTCATAGTTTCTTAGAAAGTGCTAGGGCACTGAGTATTACATGAACTCATGAGCCCATGTTTGGTCACTTAGCCAACATATGTTAGAGGCTGGAACTCACGTCTTCCTGATTCTGGCGCCAGCTCTCAGTCTACACTGACTCAAGTGTAAACATGGGGAAGTGACCACCATTCTGCTCTCTGAATACTCCTCCTCATCGACAAGCACAAAGGCACAGAAAATTCATGCCAGTATGGATAATTCCACTCTGCCTCCCTTCCCTGGATGGTACTTGCTTACTAAATGTCTCTTAAAATGAATTAAATGTCAGAGCTGGGAGGGCCCTTAGAACCCAGGGTGTCAGGGCTGGGAGGGGCCTTAGGACAAAAATGTCAGAGCTCAAAGAGCCCTTAGAACACAGGATGATAGAGCTGGGAGGGCCCTTAGAACACAGGATGTCAAGACTGGGAAGGGCCTCAGGACACAGAGGATCAGAGCTGGGAGGGGCCTTAGGACACAGGATGTCAGAGCTGGGAGGGCCTTAGGACAAAAATGTCAGAGCTCAGAGCCCTTAGAACACGGATGAGAGCTGGGAGGGCCCTTAGAACACAGGAGTCAAGACGGGAAGGGCCTCAGGACACAGAGGATCAGAGCTGGGAGGGGCCTTAGGACACAGGATGTCAGAGCTGGGAGGGCCCTTAGAACACAAGATGTCAGGGCTGGGAGGACCCTTAGGACACACTATGTCACAGCTAAGAGGAACCTAAAAGACCCTTTAGTCTAATATCCTTCTTTTATTGATGAGAAAATGGATACTCAGAAAGGGGTCCCGGCTGCCCAGCCAAGGCCACACATCTGGCCAGCTGGTGAGTGAAGCAGGTTGAAAAAGAAGCCAGGTCCTCTGAGTCACATTCCAGGATTCTTTCCACTTCAGGGATAAATGTGGAATTAAATTTTTAAAAAATAGTTACTGAGTGACCTGTTAAAGTTCTTGATAAAAAGTGAATAGAAGGGGCAGCTAGGTGGCACAGTGGATAGAGCACCAATCCTGAAGTCAAGAGGACCTGAGTTCAAATATGACCTCAAGACACTTACTAGCTGTGTGACCTTGGATAAGTCACTTAACCCCAATTGCCCCCAAAAAATGGAGAGAGGAAGAGAGCAGAAGGGATAGGTCTGTTTGAGTAGGAAGAAAACTTAGCAACTATTGGAGGGCATCAGGGAAAACTTCATGGAGGAAGCGACCCCTGAACTGAGTCTTAAGGGAAGATTAAAAATTCTTTGAGGCTGAGAGGGGTGCAAGGGGAACAGCTTCTAGGGACACACAGAGTGAGGAAAGGAAAGCGTTGGGTCCTTAGGTGCCCTCCAGCTCTCATGTCCTATATGCTAGTAGTCTTTCCAACACTGACATTCTATGTTTTGTTTTGTTTTGTTTTGTTTTGCTTTTAAGCAATTGGGGTTAAGTGACTTGCCCAAGGTCACACAGCTAGTAAGTGTCAAGTGTTTGGTCTGAGGCCGACTTGAACTCAGGGCCATTGCTCTATCCACTGCACCACCTAGCTGCCCCCTGACATTCTATGTTTTGAGGTTAATCAATCAAACATTAACCACGTAGGCAATGCCAGGCAAGGCACTGAGGATTCAGAGATGTAAATGAAACTCCCTGACCTCAAGGAGCTTACATTTTATAGAGTCAACATGTACACATAGAAGTATGTTATACAAAACAAATGTAAGATAATGGAACCTGGGGTGGGGATGGGGGAGAGACCCAAGAAGACCACTTGTAAGCGGTGGCATTTTAGTTGAATCTTAAAGGAGATCAGGGATTCCAAAAGGTAGAAGTGAGGAGGCTGTGCATTCAAGGCATGAGGAACAGCCTAGGCAAAGGCCTGGAGGCAGCAAATGGAACACCATGTGTGAAGAACAGTGAGAAGACCAATTGAAGTAGGCTGAATAGTGTCTTAAAGGGAATAGGTACAATAGGGCTGATCCTTGGAGCCAGAGAATGAAACACTTCAAATGCCAACGAGGAGTCCATATTGGATCCCAGAGGTAATAGGAAGCCACTGAAGTTAATTGAGCAGGGGAGTAACACAGTCAGACTTATGCTTTAGGTCCCTTTCATTTCTATTAGCCCAAGTTCCCTTCGAGGTCCAGTCTTCTCCTGCCTCTGTCCCACCAGTATAGTCTCTTCTGCCATTCCACATCCCAGCCTCTCCCCAATCACCCAGGCTTTCCCCTGGGTCCCAGAGAGTTATCAGTTTCCATTATTGGGTTCTTCTCCTGTCTGGGCTGGTCCTAGGGGCCCAGATCCCTCAACTCCCCAAGCAGAGCCAAGATATTTGGGTTTCCCCAGGAAACGGGGGTTGGGGGGAGGCTGGCCCCAATAAGGTCACCCACAGGTTTGGCCTCCATCTTTCTGTGCCCTCTAGACCTTGTCCAGCCACTGGCCCTGGTCCCAGCCTCCCCTAGCCTTAACCCTGGCCCCCCAGTTCCTGGAGAAGGGGTAAGGGCAGCGGACAGATTTGGGGAGGAAGAGTGTTTCCAAACAAGAAGCTCCCCCCAACACCCACACCGTTCCCCTCCCCCATCTCGTTAAAGGCGTGTGAGGTGAAGGGGAAGGTGGTTCATGGGAGGTTCGAGGCTGCTGTCGCCGTTCCCCGGGAGGGAGCCCGCGCAGAGGCATCGGAGCGACAGCTGAGTCACGCGGGGGGTCTGCGGAATGGGGCCATTACCATACAGAAGCCATAATTATGTGTAATTTTCCAAGCGCAACAAAAAATTAGAACCCAAACAAAACCGGGCGGCGGCGGGAGGAGAAGCCACCGCATCTGGTAAACAGAGAGATGAGGCTGGAGGCAGGGAGGGAGGGGCGGGGAGAGGAGAAGGGGAAGCACCCTCAGCCGAGTGTCTGGGGGTGCTTTTTACCTCCCCTCCCAGGGTGGGGGAAAGAGGGAGAGGAGAAAAGAAAGCACCCTTAGCCAAGTGTCTGGGGGCGCTTTTTACCTCCCCTGCAGGCTCACACTTTCCC